AGACTTGCCACGGTCTCCAACCCTCCTCCTTTCTCATCCGGGCTTGGGACCGGCCATGGCGGAGTTAGCAAATTTAGCTATGAAAGTATGGGAAAGCGCGATGGTGATCCTGTGCAGCAGACGAACATATGGTACTATATATATGTCCAGATCACGCCTGGGAAAACAGTTGGATAAGCATCTTTAGCAATGTCGGTTTTTGTACGGATGATTGATGAATATGAATTTGCGTGTCTTTCCCCGGGCAATAATTGAGTTAGCAGTTCAGGTAGTACCTAAAAAGTTAGGATTGGTTTGAATATGAACAAATAAAATGTTTCTGTTTTGTTTCATATGACTCTTGATAAACCGTCTGTTGCAGTTGTTTGACCTATTAACAATTTCGTTTACTGTAGTTCAGTTGTTACATTTCTTTCTGAAATTTCCTATCATCTGTGGTGCAGAACCAGACGTGTGGCGATATTCCTGATACAGTAAACTTTCACCTGTATATTTTTATTGATTTGATTATAGTAAGAACCATATTCGTGTTGCAACCTGAGCAAGTAAATTAATCACTGTGCATTGTGTCGACTCCTACTACCTTATGGACTCCACCCTCGACATACGCCGCATGGTATGACATACGCCTTTGAACTATAAGTGGTATATGGCGTGCTTCCTGACGTGCGGTAGAGCCTCCATCGCCTTTTTCAGCCATGGTGTATTACCGACAACATCAGTGAATATCGTATTGCTGGCAAACGCTGGATCCTCGGAACTACGCAAAGTTATGGCCAGTAAAGTATTCTTCCGAACAACAGGTCCTCCTGAGTCACCCTGAAATAACATGGAAAAATTAGCTGATAAACGGAGAATAGTTCACCATCAAAAGTAGACGTCGTACTTCGCTAATTGTCTTTGAAGGATCCTCAGGATATCCGCAAACTTCATATTTATCCTCAAAATCGGATATCGTGGTATACCGTTGTTTACATTGCCTCGTGGAATTCAAAATGTAGGTGGCTGTACGAGGAAGCATTGGGGTTTTGACGCCCGGTGCTGAAAATCATGTCAAAGCATGTATAAGAGGAAATGAAATGTATATGAATTAATGATGATCATATTAGGAGAAAAGTCTACTATCCCATTTTGATACTCCTTACCACAAATTCAATGCAAGCCATAAACCCTAACCATTCATTTGTTTTTCTTTCATAGCTCTCTGACCATCTGCAAACCCTTCACTTACTCCGCGGTAAATGATTGTGTTTCGACCCTTGATACTTAACAGTGCAGTGTCTTACCTTTACCTTAATCCACGTAAAGATATTTATTCACTACATCAGCTGTACATAGCTTCTCTTTCGTCAGTGCACAAAAGCAAGGTTTCACATAGTCTCCGTCTGAATGAGTGTCGTAAACAACGACAGTCATCAGAAAAACTTTTCTTGATGATCATTTCATTGTGGTCTTCAAAAGTATTCCTGGCTTATGAGTCGTGACTATGAAGCATCCAAGTTCGCAGGACGTTCCCTATGGCGAAGTAGCTATAGTGTCTTCTCCTCCCACAGCCAGATCACGCTTTCCATGAAGACCTGTCATGCCCCCCTGAAATGTACAGATGACTAAGCGCTGGTAACGCTCTTTTGGGTGGATCATTTACTGAACGGATATGAATGTAACTGCAGAAGTAGCAAGAAATTGGTCACGTGAATCAGAAGTTATTGGTCAGGAAATGATGTTGGCTGTGATCATGAATCTAGAAAATGACTGCATATCAGTGAGTAATATTTTTGGTGCTGAGTTGAACGTAGAAAACATGCAGCAGTCTCTGAAGATGAAAAATTTTGAACGACGGCAAAAAAACAAAACTTCTGTGCAAACAACATCTTATTTCACTCGTTTACGCATCTTCAATGACGTTAAATCGAATCGTCCTGTGGGCACTAAGTGTCAGCATGGCTTAAACATGTATCTGTATTTTAACTCTTTCATGACGTTTACAGACAGTCAAAATCTAGAAAAAAGTTTTTAGATGTTTGCACCTCTGCATATGTGGGTAACAAGGAAACAGGAGTAGCTCTGCTGACGAATACATTTGGAATATCAGATATTTAAATAAATATATGTACTTGTGTCCAATCCATAACCGAAGACTTCCGCCTGATCTCCGGCTTTCCAGCGATCCTTTTTCTCAGGCATGCAGAGCGGGGTGACACCTTTTGGTAGGTTCTCATCGGCAAGTCTCACAATAGCAATGTCATTGGCCTTAAATGGCAATTTCAGAGAACGTTTCTTGGTGACAATCGAATAGAAGTCTGACATGAAGCAATGTTTGGACGGATCCGTAATATCGCACGCGCTGAGGAAAATTTTCACAGTTCGTATCCTAAAAATGTTCAAATAATAATTTAATACAAAAAATAAAAATGAAGGCAAAACGTCTGAACAGAAGGTTTCTGCTCGAAAATCAGGCATTTTTCAGATTATTCGCTGTTTACATACAACCATAACTGCATTTATACGAAATTTCGTAGTAAATTTCTCGGCAAGTTTTTTTGTGCAATGCTCTTGAGGTGGGAAAACAGCGCTGGGAGTTCAAAAACGTGTGACTAAGAATCAGCCATTTTTCTGAGCACAAATCTTAAACCTGTGACTTATAATCAGCCGATTTTCTGAGCTATGAAACTTACTTTACATCCATCATAATGCTTCACTTCTTGGATTGTTTTCTCAAAGTCTTTGTCAGAATTTGCAACAAAAGGCTTTCAGTCATCTCAGAAGCACGCAGGAAAACCTAAGGAATAATATATATGAATCGATAAATTTGCCTTACTGCTTGAATAAGCAGTGAATGTACATGTCGCTCAGCAGAAGATAATTTTAAAACTAGCTTCTTCCTTAACCCAATCCAATAGTTGTCTCTTGGATCGCATGCGTATCGGCGCCTATTCGAGTAGCCTCGTACACAGAGATTTACCATACGTTGCCAGTTGTATGCAGCTAACGAAACATGGCAGTCATGCTTTGACAGGGATAACATTGGAACTAATAGACTAGTAGAGATCGTGCTTGTAACAAGAGACGAGAATCGTTTAAAACCTCCGACAACAAGATGTATGAATCAAACCACCAAAGACAGGGTAATCTACAGTAAGCAAGATACAGTATATTCAAGTGTCATATTAACATCGTTTCCGACCTCATGTTTGAATATTGAAGCGTTTCTTTACCATCATGCTATGAAACACACCTATAAGGCAGAATATCTTTATCATATTCACATCATACTATATCTGCGATACGTAATACAACAAGCAAAGAAATCTTGCAGTCATTGATACAGTATAAATAAGAGAAAACCAAAAATAAGCGCTTCAGATCTTCAGAATCAGCGTTAGCAGAGAATTGGAGTTTGTGTCATGCAATACCCCTGTTGATAATAAACGGGTTTTAATAACCGATTTCATTTCATGGATCCTACGTACAACGACACTCTTTTCAGGTAAACCTATCTTTCTGGAACACATGTATGTTGATCATACAACCATATTATTGAAGAAGTCTCTGAGAGTGCAATTTGGGGAATTTAGGGTATGTGGTGGTTGACGGAACCGTTCGTAGAAGAATGCAGACTCATCGAAAACTATTCTCTTCTGGGAGGCAAAAATTTACTGCAGGTGGTTTGTGGGTCAACATCGCACCATAAAGCAGCTCCTAGGGGTGCTTCTTCTTGCTTG